TGTTCCGGAAATTCTGTATATCTGATCTGTTCTGGTGCTATAAGCACAACGGGAGACATAAGGGGCCAGAATCCGTTGAGATTCTGTCTGTATCAGGGAATGGAGGAATAAGGGGACATAATCCGTTGAGATTCTGTCAGGGTCAGGGAATCTGATGTTTGATATCTAATAATCTGTTCTGTGACTTATCTGGTCTGTTTTATGAATTATCCGATATATGATTTCTGATTTTCTGTATGATTCTGTCTGCTCTGTGAATTGAAAGCCTTATGATATCCGATTTGAAATGACTTCAATTTTGTGTATCAGTTGTTTGATTTCTATTGATCAAGTATCTGTTCTGTCTGTTCTACGATTTCTGTATGACTATTTTCTGATGTAAATTTTTGACTATTTTGATTGGTGAGTGATGTCTTGCTGAACTGTTAGCTCATCCTTATTTTCTGTGTGGTTTTCAGATTTTGGGAAAGGGAAGGAGGTCTTGGACTAGAAGTTCTGTGTCTGATCTGAGATTATGTATTTTGTACTTTTGATTTTTGGTACAGTCATGACTTTTCTGTTCTATTCTGTTATTTCTGTCTGGAGCCATGGATTGTATTGTATATGATTGTTTTGATGAAAGAAAAGATAGATGATCTGTTCTATATTTGGATGTTTATAGTAGCTATGTATTTTTTTGTCTATTTAATATTTGGAAGAAAGTTTTGAAGTAAATTCCAAAGCTAGATCATGGATTTTTAATGGTTCTGTCGTGGCCCGATGCGAGCGGGATCCGTCTCGGTCGGGTTGGGTCGTGACAAACTTTAGTGGTATCAGAGTAATGGTTTTGGAATTTGGATTATAAGACAGAGCTATAGGAATTGATCTGTAAGTCTATCGGGGTAGTTCTGATTTTTCTAGATTTTTATTATGTTATTTTGTGCCTAGTTTTCTATGTGATTATGGATATGCCAGACCCAGATATGACAGATGGGCAGAGTACTAGTCAGGCAGCTCTGGTGAGTAGTACTGCCCAAGTGGTTGGTTCTGATACACTTTCTTAGTTTGCTACATTGGTTGCTCAGATGATGAGCGAGACTTAGAGTAGAACCTCTACTGTTCAATTTGAGGATGTGGATAGACATCTACAGATGGTTCTGAGATTGAAACCTCCGAGGTTTGAGGACACTGTTGAGCCCAGAACAGCTGAAGAGTGGCTGAGAAAGTTAGAGAAGACTTTTGACGGTATGCAGTGTCCGTCGGACAGAAAGGTACCGTTGGCAGTTTTTCTGTTGGATGGCGAAGCTAAGCACTAGTGGATGGGCCAGCAGGAGGAAAAGTTCCAAGGAAAGCTAAACTCTCTGATTTCTTGGGAAGAGTTTTCTGAGGTATTTCGATCGTAGTTTGTACCTCCTTCTACAAGACAGCAGATGTAGGAGATTTTTCTGAGGCTAGTTCAGGGGAGCAGGACTGTGATGTAGTACGAGGCAAAGTTTACTGCTTTAGCCTGATATGCTCCGCAGTTGGTAAGTACTTCTGCTGAGAAGTGCTATAGATTTCTGAGGGGACTACGAGATAGTCTGAGGCAGCCCCTGGTACCGTTTTATATTTCTGATTTCTCTGAGCTTGTGGAGAGAGCTCATCTGATAGAGAACGATTTGATGGCTACTTAGCAGCGGTGGACTGCGAGTAGGAAGAGGTTTAGGGGTGATGCTTCTAGTAGTGGTTCCTCTGCCAAGAGGAGATTTGTTTTTGGAGACTCCAGGAGGAGTGGATAGTCGGGATCCACTACAGTTTCTGGTAGTGGCAGTACGACCAGTTCTAGATCTGTCAGTGGGGCACCTGTGTGCCAAAGTTGTGGACGACGACATTTTGGTCAGTGCTACAGGATGACTGGTCAGTGCTTCAGATATGGTCAGCCAGGACATCGGATTGTAGAGTGTCCACAGGCTAGATTTGATCGACGATCTGATAGCTTTGTTAGGCCTGCTAGTTTAGCTGGAAAGCTGAGGACTGTTCCTCTACGCACTGTGACTGAAGAATTCTCTGGTAGAGGAGGTGGTTCGAGTTCTGTGGCACGGAGACCACCTATTGTTAGTCAGAGGGAGCCTAGTAGTTCAGTAGCTTCAGCCACATGTGTACAGTTTGAGTCAGTAGTAGGCTCGAGATGCTTCGGATGTGGTGACAGGTATGATTTATATTTCTGAACACCCCTGTCGGGTTTTTTATTTATTCTGGAGCGAGTTATTCCTTTATTTCTGAGCGTTGCTTCGACGTTTTGCATTTGGATTCTGTGATTTTACGGATTTTGCTTTCCGTTATTTTGCTGGCTGGAAGTAATTTGATCGTCCGGAAGTTTTGTTTTTGTGATATTGATATTTCTCGTAAGAAGTGGAAGTCAAGTTTGATTTTATTGCCAATTTCTTCTTACGACATGATCTTGGGTATGGATTGGCTGAGTCTGTATGAGGCTCAGATTGACTATTTGAAGAAGCAAGTCAGCTTGCTTATGGATGGTGAGAGATGTGTATTTCAAGGATTACGAGGTGTTCTATCCTGTCTGATTTCTGTGTTGGAAGTCAGAAGAATGTGAAAGAAGGGTTGCACGGTATTTTGGCTTATGTACGGGATATGAACATAAATATGGGTTCTATTTCTGATATACCGGTTGTACGGAAGTTTTCTGATGAATTTCTTGAGGAGTTTGTTGGTTTACCTCCGGATCAAGATGTTGAGTTCTCTATTGATATTTTTTTGGGTACAGCTCCAATATCAAAAGCTCCATACAGGATGGCACCAAAAGAACTTTCTGAGTTGAAAGTTCAGCTCCAGGAGTTGGTGGATAAAGGATTTGTTCGTCCTAGTGTTTCTCCTTGGGGAGCACCTGTACTGTTTGTGAAGAAGAAGGATGGAACACTCCGTATGTGTGTTGATTACATAAATTTGAATAAAGTCACGATCAAGAACAAGTATCCATTACCACGGATTGATGACTTGTTTGATCAGCTTTATGGTTCTTCTATATTTTCAAAGATTGATTTGAGATCTGGATACTATCAAGTGAAGGTGAAGGAAGCTGATGTGTTGAAGACAGCTTTCAGTACTCGGTACAGGCACTACGAGTTTTTGGTTATGCCTTTTGGGGTAACCAATGCACCTGCTATTTTCATGGATCTGATGAACAGAGTGTTCAAGGAGTATCTGGATCAGTTTGTGATCATCTTCATCGACGATATTCTGGTGTATTCTACTTATGAGGAAGATCATGCTAGACACTTGAGCATTGTGTTGGAGACTTTGAGGCAGCATCAGTTGTATGCTAAGTTTTTTAAGTGTGAATTTTGGCTGAAGAGCATTTCTTTTATGGGGCATGTGGTGAGCAGTGAAGGTATTTTTGTTGATCCCCAAAAGATTCAAGCTGTTGCTGATTGGCCAAGGCCTACTACGTTATTTGAGGTACGTAGTTTCTTAGGCATAATTAGATATTATAGGAAATTTGTGAAGGGATTTTCTCAGATTTCTACGCCTCTGATGAGACTGACTCAGAAGTTAATAGCTTTTGTTTGGACACCGGAATGTGAAGCCAGTTTTTAGGGGTTGAAGGATTGTTTGACATCTGCTCCTGTGTTAGCACTTCTGTCAGGTACGGAAAATTTCAGGTGTTCAGTGATGCTTCACTGAAAGGTTTGGGCTGTGTTCTGATGCAGCATGGTCGGGTAATAGCATATGCTTCGAGACAGTTGAAAGCACATGAAAAGAATTACCCGAACCATGATTTGAAATTGACTGCAGTTATTTTTGCTTTGAAGATTTGGCGTCATTACTTGTATGTCGTCAGATGTGAGATCTTTACGGATCATAAGAGCTTGAAGTACATATTCACTCAGAAGGATTTGAATTTGAGGCAAAGAAGATGGCTTGAGTTAATCAAGGAATACGACCTGACGATTCAATATCAGCCTGGTAAGGTTAATGTGGTAGCAGACGCTTTGAGCAGGAAGTCTTCTAGATTATCAAGTATTCATCTCACTTCGGATGACTATCTGATATGAGATATGTAAAGATTACAGTTGGAGGTAATTTCCTCTACTGGTCCAAATTCTGTTGTTTTGACTCAGATGAACATTCAATCTTCTCTGGAAGAAAGGATTCAAGAAACTCAGAAGTCAGACTCCGACTATTTGAAGTTAATTACTCAGATTGAATCTGGTAAGAAACCTAAACTACGAGTTTCTAATTATGGGGTTATCTTCTGCAAGAATAGACTGTGAATTTCTGTGTTTGGAGATTTGAGGAAAAAGATTCTATACGAATCTCACCATTCATGCTATACGATGCATCCGAGAAGTGGTAAGATGTACGGAGATATGAAGAGTTTGTTCTTGTGGCCTGAAATGAAAAAGGATGTAGCAGGTTTTGTTGCGAAATGCGAAGCCTGTCAGTTAGTGAAGGCAAAGCATCAGCGACCAGGAGGTCTTTTGCAGTCGTTGCCTATCCCTGAGTGGAAGTGGGAGGAGGTAACGATAGACTTTGCTATGGGTTTCCCTCGATCTAAGCAAGGGCATGATGCCATCTGGGTGATTGTGGATCGATTGACAAAGTCTGCACACTTTCTTTCGATCAGGCAGACGAATCCGGTGGATAAGTTGGCACAGGTATATGTGAAAGAAATTGTTAGATTACATGGTGTGCCTAAAGTGATTGTATCTGATCCAGATCGACGGTTTACTTCTAGACTTTGGAAGGGTATTCAACAAGGCTTAGGTACAAAGTTGTATTTCAGTACGGCTTTTCATCCGCAGACTAACGGACAGTCTGAGGGGACTATTTAGGTACTGGAAGATCTTCTGAGGTTATGTATTTTGGATTTTGGAGGAAGCTGGGAAGATCATATCTCTTTGATTGAATTTGCTTATAATAACAGTTTCCAGTTCAGTATTGGTATGACACCTTATGAAGCTTTGTATGGCCGAAAGTGTAGAACTCTTTTGACTCTGACTGAGGTGGAAGATAGATAAGTGATGGGTTCAACTTTTGTGGATGAAGCTGTTATAAAGATTAATCTAATTAAAGAAAGATTGAAAGCTGCACAATATAGACAACATAAGTATTACAATCAGAAGCACAGATTTATGGAATTTCAGGTTGGTGACTTTGTGTATGTCAAAGTCAGTCCGATGAAAGGTGTAAGCAGATTTGGTAGAATGAGTAAACTCAGTCCAAGGTATGTCGGACCTTTTGAGATTATTGAAAGGATTGGAAAATCTGCTTATAGATTGTTATTATCCAATCGGATGTCTGATGTGCATAATGTTTTTCAATATCCTCTTTGAGAAAGTGGATATCTGATTCTGACAAGAAAGTGTCTATTGATGAGGTTGAGATTCAGGAGAATCTACAGTACAAAGAAGAACCGGAGAAAATTTTGGCCTATGATGTACTCAAGTTAAGAAGTAAACAAATTCCAATGGTTAAAGTGTAGTGGAAACACAGAACAGCACGATAAGCGACTTGGGAGAAGGAGTCGGACATAAGGCAGTCATATCCGTATTTATTTTGAATCAGTTTACTTTGGGAATGTCGAGGACGATATTTTTCTTAAGGTGGGTAGATTGTAAAACCCCTCAAAAGCTAATTTTTTTGAGTGCTGTTAGTCCGGACGAACTGGTCTCAGTACGGGACGAACTGAAGAAATTGTGAAAAAATCTGTATGGTTCGTCTAGACGAACCTGTAAGGGTCGGGACGAACCGTCTAGACTAACCAAATAGAGAGTTTCGTCCAGGGACGAAGAAACTTGGAATTTATTTTCGTTTGGACGTTTTGAGTACAGAGAAGATCGTCCCGGGATGATCGGGACATCGTCCTGGACGATCCTTCTTAATAAATATCTGAATAGTGTCATTTTTGAAGAGAGAGAAAGCTGTGGAGAGAGAAAAATGAAGGGAAAAGAAGAAAAGTGGATTTTTGAGCGACTTCGACCTGTTTTCGTCCGTCGTTGTAGTTGGAAAAGTTGATCGACTCGAGGTAAGACACATTCTGCCTTTCTTAATTTTCATAAACGAGAATTTTGACGACTTTTCTGTCTCGAATTTTGTTTCCATTAGTGAATAATTAATTTTATTTCGCACTGATAAATGTTTTACCGCGTAACTTTTGGTATGTTTATGAGATGATAATTGTGCACGTTTTGAGTATTTTTTGGAAGATTTTTACCGGATATTTTGAATTTTGTGATGTTTTAATTGAATTGCAAGTTATCAGGATGTTAAAAAATGTTACGTTAGTATAGTGAAAGTCTTATAATGTTGTCGTGAATATTCTGTGATAATTTGGTAAATTTCTGAATCTGTGATTTCTGTGTAAATTTCGTATACTACCATTATGCTGCTGATGAATTTTCTGACGAAATCTGATTTTCTGATTTAAATGTTTTGATGTGTGCATGCTATCAGAAGGGAGTTATAAGGGGGCTAGAATTCTTTGAGATTCTATCTGTGTCCGGGAAAAATCTGAAATCTGAAAATAAGTTTTGTTCCGGAAATTCTGTATGTCTGATCTGTTCTGGTGCTATAAGCACAACAGGATACATAAGGGGCCAGAATCTGTCGAGATTCTGTCCGTGTCAGGGAAGGGATGCATAAGGGGCCAGAATCTGTTGAGATTCTATTAGGGTCAGGGAATCTGATGTTTGATATCTAATAATCTATTATGTGACTTATCTGGTCTGTTTTATGAATTATCCGATATATGATTTCTGATTTTATGTATAATTCTGTCTGCTCTGTGAATTGAAAGCCTTATGATATCCGATTTGAAATGACTTCAGTTTTCTGTATCAGTTGTTTGATTTCTGTTGATCAAGTATCTGTTCTGTCTATTCTATGATTTCCGTATGGCTATTTTCTGATGTAAATTTCTGACTAATTTGATTGGTGAGTGATGTCTTGCTGAGCTGCTAGCTCATCCTTATTTTCTACGTGATTTTTAAGTTCTGGGAAAGGGAAGGAGGTCTTGGACTAGAAGTTCTGTGTCTGATCTGAGATTAGGTATTTTGTACTTTTGATTTTTGGTACATTCATGGCTTTTCTGTTATATTATGTTATTTATGTCTGTAGTCATGGATTGTATTGTATATGATTGTTTTAATGAAAGAAAAGATAGATGAACTGTTCTGTATTTGGATGTTTATAGTAGCTCTGTGTTTTTCTGTTTATTTAATATTTGGAAGAAAGTTCTGAAGCAAATTTCAAAGCTAGATCCTGGATTTTCAATGGTTCTGTCGCAGCCCGATGCGAGCGGGATCCGTCTCGGTCGGGTTGGGTCGTGACAGGTGGTGGGAAGTAGGGGTAGAAAAGAGTAGTCTGCATAAGGTTCGGTGAAGGTAAGTGTGGGTCTAGTGAGTAGAACTGTGGGCTAGTGGCTGTAGGAGAAGGTAAAGGCAGGCTAGGCTGACTCTGAGTAGTAGACTGAGATGAAGAGGTGCCCTCAAAACATACAGACCTGCAGTATGAGCTAACAGTAATCTTCTTATCGTGCCTACCAAATATATTCTTTATTAATCCTCTTTGACGATCATCACCTGAAGCCATATGCACAAAAATTTTAAAAATAATAGGAACATGAATTACAATAAAAAAGAATATAAAATAGCACAACAATTAAAATAATGCAAGTATAAAAAATTTTAAATATACAATAACGTAATAATTAAATAAATTTAATTATTTGTCAAATATCAATTACCTTATGTTGATTCACTTTTATACGATGAAACTTATGCACCACTATCAGCCTCGTCATGAATCTCCTCTATGTTTAAATCCACTTCTTCTAACTTCAACTCACTCTCAGTAGTTGTAATTTGATCATCCACATTGTTAGTAATATCTTTTATGTTTGATATAAACTCTTTTTGATGTGCTGGTGGTATTGAAGTAGTCTTCTCAATAACTCCTATGGTTTGGTCTTCATAACTACAAGCAAATCTTGCTTGCCTCGTACTCTACTTGGGTAATTAGCAAAATAGATTTGACTTGCTTGACTAGAAATAATGAATGGGTCAAACTTTGAATATTTCCTACCTCGCTTAACTTATGTAATATCGTACAATAGAATTTTTCTTATGCCTCTATTTTGTACTGGATCAAACCACTCACAATTGAATAGATAAACATTATTCCCAACACCAGGATATTCCAACTTTAATATTTCTTGTAATACCCCATAATACTCAGAATCATCACATGTATGGGTATTCCCTCTAACACATACACCAACATTATCTATTTTTCTATCTTCACACCAAGATTTTGTTTGGAATTTGTAACCATTAACTAAAAAAATTTGATAACACCTCACAACTCTATTAGGTCCCTAAGCTAGATCAACTAGCCCATGATATTGCAAATTACTTCCTTAAGCGTGGACCTATAATTAGTACATAAAATATGTCAGTAGCATGCTTAATAAGTAATTAAAGATATATTAATTGAGATGAATAGCCATTTTATATACCATATTTTTAAACCACATTGGGAATTCTATTTCCACTATCTTTTGGACTTCTACTTCTTCTATTGTATTCAATCCATCAATGAAACTCCTGTAATCATTAAGGTTTAGAATAAATTTAAGTATGAGTAACAAATTTATGAGCAAGTTTATTCATACTTACTCGAGATAAGGCTCAACTTCATTACAGTTAAGCAAGACATATAAAGTGGCAACTCGCATCTCCTTATCAATCAAATAGCGCATGGTACTAGCGCCTAAGGGTTCACCACTGTCGTTGAATACAGATAAATTTGAGGAATGACCCACATTTTCAGGTGCAGTGCTATGACTTGATTGTGACATTATTTCAAAGTAATACGAGCAAAACTGAGTTATCTCATACATTAAATATGCTTCAAATATTGAGCCTTTAGGATGCGCTTTGTTCTTAGCAGTCTTCTTAAGTTTATTTAAATACCTCTCAAAAGGATACATCCATCGATACTAAACAGGTCCACAAACTCTAGCTTTATATGGAAAATACACGGACAGATGCTCCACAGAGTTAAAGAAGCCTAGAGGAAATATCTTCTTAAGTTTACACATAATTAAAGGGATATTCTGCTCCATTAGAATCAAGGACTCTGTATTTAGCTTTGAAGAGCATAAATCTTTGAAGAAGTTACTAAGCTCGATGAAGGGCTTTAAAATTTAATCTAGCACATAACTAAAGGTAGTTGGTAGTAGACATTGTATAAAGATATGATAGTCATGACTCTTCATACCAAATAATCTCCCAGTTCTAACATCAATACATCTGCTTAGATTTGAAGAATAACCATCAGGTACCCGTAAACTCTTCACCCATTCATAAACAGATCGCCTCTGCTCTAAAGTCAACGTGAATGGAGCTTTTGGTTTGAAAAATTTTCCATTTCCAGCATCCCTCAATTCTAATGATTTCCTATTATAAATCTCCTTTAAGTCCATCCTTGCTTTTATGTTGTCTTTGAATTTATCTTTGATGTCCATGATTGTATTGAATATATTATCAAAGATATTTTTCTCTATATGCATCACGTCTAAGTTATGTCTGATCAAGTTTGTCCTCCAATATGGTAATGATCAAAAAATAAATTTCTTAGTCCAATTGTCGTTCACACCATACCCTGGTAATTTGTAATAAGCTAATGTTAGAGAATCTACTATTGTGGGCATTGATCTTACTCTTTCAAATATTTCTTCACTAGTAAGTCTAGGAGGAGGCAGCGACATAACCATTTTATTTTTGATAAAACCATCCTTATTTCGCCTGAAAAGATGATCTGTAGGTAAGAACATGTGATGAAAGTCGAACCAAGTGTTCTTTCCTCCATTCTTTAAAGTGAATGACTTCGTATATTTCATACAAAGTGGACAAGCTAATTTTCCAGAAGTGTTCCAACCTGAGAGCATACCGTACGCGGGAAAATCATTAATTGTCCAAAGTAATGCTACCCTCATAATGAAGTTCTGTTTGGTGGAGATGTCATATGTACTTATTCCCTCTTCCCATAATAATTTTAAATCATCAATTAAAGGTTGTAATAATACATCAATATTTGCTTTTGGATTATGTGGCCATGGAATGATAAGCGTAAGAAATATATAAGGTGTAATCATGCACAAATCTGGTGGAAGATTATATGGTGTGAGTATGACGGGCCAGCATGAGTAAGGTGAAGCAGACTGACTAAATAGAGTGAAACCCTCTGCGCATAAACCTAATCTTTGTACGATCAAAGTGTTTCCAGGCATTTTCTTATGATGGATGTGTAGTAAAACATTATTGCGAGATATGTTCTTTATGACATCTTATATGTTCAGCAGATCTCATTGATGTATATAATCATTGCAGTCTTGGAATCATAGGTAAGTAAATTAACATATTGGCTGGTACTTCTTTCAGCTTTCTTTTCGTGATAGATTTTGGTTTAAATCTCGGTGCG